TTGTCAAACTGTACATGCTGTTGCTATTATTTTATTTTTGCTAGTACTAACTGTAACCTCTGTTTTCGTGTCAGCCAATTACCTTTGGTGAGGATTTGTGCTACCAAAAATTCAGGATCAAATTGAGGTAAGTAAAATTTCTCAGAAAACCATGAAAGTGATAGCTCTAAGAGGCCCACAAGTGATTGAAAAAAGAAAAATAAGTTCTTCTGTTATCAAAAACCTTTATATACTTCTCACTTTAAAGGTTAAATAGGTCTTTAGTTATTTCACAGTTAGTTCTTTTTCCTTTAGGAACTTTCTTGTCATTGGTATCAAAGGTATTGCTTGACTTTTTTTGATTATTAGAAGTCAAGTTTTTGAGTAAAGAGATTTGTAAATAATAAGGAAAGGGTAAAAGTGACTCTTGAAGTTATACTTCAAGTTGTTTTAAGAAAAATAGTAAGATTTTATTAACAAGGAAGTATAAAAACTTCTTGTGAACATATTTTTTGTGTATGATCAGAGAATCAGCGAAAAGAGTTTTTTTTAATTAATTACCAATAAATTTTTTTTTATTAAAATAAATATCTATTATATTAAGAATTTTAAAAATTTTATATTTTTTTAATAGCATATTTTAAACAATTAAACTAAATATTAAATAACTACATAAAAAAAAAGATAAGTTCTTAATAATTCAAAGATATATAAAATAAATATTGATATTTTAATAAAAAAATTTGAAATAAATTTAATTAGTAACCATTATATTTTAATTTAACTATATGTTACTAAAGATAAACTAATTAATCAGAAATTTTTTGTAATAGATCTTTTGGTCAAAATTTGTATAAAAAATTGACTTTTAGTTATAAAATTGATTTTTGATTATAAAAAATTGACTTTTGATTATAAATTGACTTTTAATTATAAAAATTTGACTTTTGGTTATAAAATTATATCCTATAATCTAAAGTTTTGAAGAGATATAATTTACTTTCAATTATAAAACTTTTGATTATAAAATATATTGTATGTGAGATTTTAGGAATTCATTATTAATTACAACAGATATAGAAATCCTTATTGATTATAATATTATTATATAATAATTAAAAAAATGTATTCTCAATTCTAAAAAAGGTAACGTCATATAGTTTTCTACTTTTCAGTTTTATAGCCTAATTAGAACTAAGAAAATAATTTCTTTTATATATTTTATTTAATCATAAGAAGTTACAGACCTTAACTTGAACATATAATCATTTTTTCACTATTTAGAGAATTTAATACCTATCTTAATAATTTTAATGATATTATCAAAATACTTGAGTATAATCAATAAGATCTTGTTTATATTTTATTATCAACTTTTTTCATGTCAACCAATCAGATGTCAGATAACATTGTGCTATCAGGAATTTAGGATTAAGCTAGGATACTAAAAAAAACCATAGTTTACAATAACTGAAAAAATTTTAATAATTTGATTATAATATATTAATTAGTATATATACTAAAAAAGGAAATACCATATTCTCAAATTGCATTTAATATGTATACTTTAAATAGTATAGCATATAATCATTTGATGCTTGAAATTGAGTCACGAGTAAATATTCGCGCGATAAAGTGACGCCAATTCCTTAATCATTTTTTCGGATGCATAATGAATAAACGTAACTTCAAACCATTGGCAGTTTTACGAGAAGAGGTTCAACACGAATACTTTAGGACGCGTGAAGAATTTTATAATGCGAAGAGAGTAGAGAGCAAGGTACCCATTTGAATAGCCGTTTTCAAGAACCGACGGTGCGTTAATTAAGAATCTTTAATCACCTTTGCATAGGCGTTTGTACGTGAAAGTAGCAAAAAAATCGAGACGTTGCTTGTTCAACGTGACAGGCGTGTTAAGGAATTCTCCGTTCGATTTACTGGAGATGCATATCCATCTATAGAAACCTTGTCTATATCCAAAGGGAAAACAAACTCGAATAATTCCAAAACTTCATTGAAAGTAAAACACTTCACAGCAAAGATTGACATAAATATCGAAGTAATTATAAATGATTAATATTATTTATGTTGAAGTATATGTATCCACCTTAGAATAAGAAAAAACACAGTTACGATACAATTTCGAAATACGGCAGTTAGTTCAGGTGCCATATTATTCTTAGTAACATTACCTACAAATTTTTTTTATAAATCAAAATTTGATCGTAGGATTATTTATCTACTGGTCATCGTAAGAAACATTTGGACAAAAGACAGGCTGGCGTTATCCCTATCCAGAACGAAATTCCGAAATACGCTTTATGGACGCCTATTGCACGGAGTTCCAAGGTTCATGGTGATTGAGATTAATACAATTAATTATCGACCGTTACTCACAATATTTTGCTTAGACCGAAGATGATCCCGTGCTAAGGCATCTTTATTATTTCGGGGAGGACAGTGAGGATGATGACGACGTTGATTATTTTGATGTATATGAGGAAAGCATCGTTGGAAAGAATGTTCAGGACCCAGAAGGTTGTTCAGATAGTTGTAAATGTGTATTATGTGTAGTGGCATTGTTATTATGTTGCTAAACTCGAAGTACAATTTTCTTTTAGACGAGAAGATCGCGGTTAGAACTATGCACCGTATCTTTATGCAAAACAATATTTCGCTTGCCCTCGTCGAAAAATCCACTAGCACAATAGATTCTGAGCCGAGCAAAGCTTCATCCACTCCATCCACCACCTCGAGACACACACGTTCACCTGTTACAGCCAACAGGTCTATTCCCGTTGACGGCGAAGATGATGAGGAGTCTGGGATATTTTTTGTTGAGGTGGTTATTAATGCGCTTGCAAAGATATTTAAAGGGAAGGATATCAAGATGTTGGTAAGTAGGTAAGATGATCTATTTGAATTTACATTTTTTACTTGCGCATCGAACCAAATTTTTTGTTTAAATTCTTTTTCTTTTTTTTTCTTTTACGTCAATTTCTACACGTAATATGTAAATTCAATAGATATTTAGAGTACGCACGTAAGTCAGGATTATCGTTGGTCATGGATGATGAAAATCAAACAATTCCTATGAATCTAGACAGGTAAGGTTTGTGATATTTCATGTCTACATGAATTGGATCCTCTTGGATCCATTCGGTTGGCTCAAGTTAATTTTAGCCATAAATCCAGGTCATCCAGTGAAGCCAATATAGACACCATGATGCATTCATATTCGAGCCTTTGGTGCCGACGATGTTATGTATATGATTGTAAATTACATGGTTTGCACAATACTAAATTATTTCAAAGATTTTAATTCTTCATAAACGAGAGTTGCATTATTAAACTTTGTTTATGTATTAGGAACGGATTTTAGACCATCAAACAATAAGCGTCATCGTCTTCCCGCAAGCAAGATCAAGCCTTGCGGAGCAAACTGCTATCTTAGTTCAAAAAATGATCGACCAGATCCATACACACCCGATGAATGGGATGAAGTAGAAATCGCGTTATTTCAAAAGTCTAGTGATCTGATTGGCAGCAAGAATTATTGCAATATAGCAGTGATAATAATGACAAAAACATGTAAACAGGTGAGAAAAATTATATCTATTTGGACAATCATATCGTCAGACTTGCTGATGTTTATTAGGTTTGTCGAAGATTCCAATTACTGGGAAGCCCCGAGAAAGAGGATGAACATGTAGAAGTTGGTTCTTCCTCTGATGACTTACGAAAAAAGAATAAAAAAATGGCGAAAATGGGTTTGTGATATTCAGCCATTTGCATATATTTTGCGCGGTCAACATTCTATTAAAAGTGGGATAATATATTTTTTTTTTTTAGAAATCGACGCGGAAAATCACTCAGAATACCATCCATGCGATCATCCCGGCAAACCTTGCGACATTAACTGTCCATGCAAGAAAGGAAATGTGCCGTGCGAAAAGTATTGTCATTGTGATTTGGACTGTAAGATACTTTTTCTCAATTGCACATCTTTCTGGCTTTGAAATTTCAAACGATTGAGATTACATCAATGATGCATAGGTCCACGAAGATTTCCGGGTTGTAACTGTTATGGCGCGGGAAAGACCTGCAGTAATAGAAGCTGTTTATGTTTTGCAAGTTATCGAGAATGTGATCCTGACTTATGTAAATGCTCCGCTTCAGGTGAATAGTATTAACGTTTATTTTATGATTTACCGCCATAGCCGATCTCTACTTACATAAAAAAAAAAAAAAATTTTCCACTTTATAGATGTATCTTATACACAATCCGTAGCGCGACATGGGTGTAAGAACGTTGCCATTCAAAGGGCACAGTCTAAGGTTGTTGTCTTTACAAATGACCATTTAATCATTTATCGTAAGTTGCAATAGTTATATTGGAGATGCATTCTCTCAGCGTACCATTGTAGGGATCTCGTCCGTGGCTGGCTGGGGGCTTTTCGTTAGGGAGCATGTTAAAAAAAATGAATATTTGGGCGAATATATCGGAGAGGTAAAACACCTTATTTCCATTTGGTTTTCTTTTTTATAATTAAACATTGTTCTTATTATTTTAGAATTGTGTGACGATCTAGGTTATCTCACAGGCAGAAGCAGACAGACGTGGGAAGATATATGACAAACGAGGCACAAGCTTTTTATTTAATCTGAATAAAGGTCAGCCATATAATAATAATAAGTATTAGGGATAGAGAACTGATTACTAAAATTGCTTCATCTTTAGATTTTGTGGTTGATGCTACGCGAAAAGGCAACAAATTTAGATTTATTAATCATTCAAATGATCCCAATACTTATTGTCGTGGTATTTTTCCGTGTTCCATTACTGTCCATTAGTGTTATCCGAGAAAAGTATGTTCAATATCTATTTCATTATTTCATAGTCACGTTGGTTAATGGGGAACATCGCATTGGAATTTATGCGATGGGAGATCTTGATCCTGGACAAGAGTTATTCTTCGATTACAGGCATGTCTTGCGGGTGATACTTTCTCTCATGTGTTTTAGTAATCAAGATGACGTCCACGTAATAATTAGTAGTTCTTTAAATAATAGATATGATGGTGAGGCCTTGAAGTTTGTACCTCTTGAAAGAGAACGTCCTCCGAGTCCTGCAAAATCAAATTCGGCTAATGAAAAATAGTGCGATGTGTCAGGCGTAGCTGTTTGATAACACCTTGGATTAAAAATAGTTATTTCTACGTGGTTGGATAAAAATATATATCGTATATATGTGTGTTTGCCCCACGGATTAGATGAAATTCTATCCAAGGTGAACTAGACTATTTCACGACCTTAAAAGGGCATCTATCTACCTTGTTCTCTATTTCCGATTTAATTAAATGATAGCATATTCAAATTTGTTCATTTCTAAAGTAGAGTTGAGAGTTGGCATGTTAGATTATCGATCTCCGATTTTGTTTTTCGTTTAAGAATATCGAACGTCGAACAAATAAGATCTGTTAGGAGCGTTACAAATATTATCTTTCATTTCATTGTTTTTACTTGTATCATTACAATCAAAGATTTTAAACAAAACGGAAGCTGGCTGATAAATTTGGCATGTAATTTATCATTGCACGTTTTTCCATTCTTACAATCTTTTAATATTTTATCTTTGAATGGTAATAGTTTTACAATTATTTAACCGGAAGGCTTATATTTTGACAATCTAATATAATTTTGTAATTTTCGAAATCAATATTTTTGTCTTCCTTCCGGGACTCTTCAATTATCTACTTCGTCTTGTTAGAATCATTTAAACTATCGTCATTCTCCAACGAAGTGTCTATACCTCTTTCTTTCAACTTATCTTTTTTGAGTTTAAAGTATTCCTCTTCGGATATCTTTCGTACCGGTGACCAACTTTTTGTCGCAAGCCAATCAAGTATTCCGCCACGGGTTTTATCCACCTTTTCATTTTCAAGAATCACTCGTTGCCTATAATTGTGCAAGCCGGTGTAAAAGTATTGTCCGGTTCCACACAAAAGCGTAAAAGCAATGATACCCGGAACGACTGTCCGACGACCACCTTGTTGAGAAAGAATTCGAGAACAGTTCAAGATGATCTCCATCAAGCGAGCCTGATAATGAATAAATGCGCACCTACTAACGCCGACCATAATCCGCCGGTTACGCCACCAGATAGAGCACTACTAATTAATTCTTCACGATCTCTCGATATTTCTGGTTCATTGTTACGACTTCTTCGGTATATCAAACATGATTCTCTGATGTCTTCAATATATTGCAATTTAGCTCGATTCTTCTAAACCCACGTAGAAAGAAAGAATATCTCGTACATACATAAGAATGTGAGTCCAATTACGCCGCTATTTGTTCCCGCAGTGAATGCGCTCCTGAACAAGGGTTTATTATTTAGAAAACCATTCAACACACCAAAGGCCATTCCGGCGCTCGCTTGATGCAAGATATTCCATAAATGAAAGGCGAGCAGGTAATTAGTTTCACATTAGTTGGTCCATATTGATTGTTGTCGATGAACAAGAAATTGATGTAAAACCGGTAAAGAGTGTGCCAGAAAACAATCTTTCTCGTGATTCAGCGTCCATCTTTTTGTTGTCACTGCACCCTTGAAATTTTTATGATATTAATTAGCGCTAAACGATGTATGTTGTAAATCAGAAAGATCGGTGTAACCTGATACAGCCATTAAAGTCTCGAAAAGCTTAAAAAATTGTCTTGAAACAATTCGGAATGTCGACGCGCAAAGAGACCGAAGAATCTAACGTTGCTACCGCAAACCCAATTGAGACAAACCCCAGGGGAATTCCTAAAGTTCAATTTATAGTAAATATTTGGGCACCACTCCCCCGGAGCCGCGTCTAGTCATTAAATTAAATTCTCTCATTTAACGCTCCGCATAACAATTGTGTACTCAATAATTTAAAAAACGCTCATTTCCGTTATCTTTTGAATTAGGCCAATGTTGAAGAGTACATTGCAAATTCATCCTCGTCAGTTGAGACCACACTGGGAAAGTTTCAGGAAACCATTGCGTAAGCACTGGCGACCATGCAATTGGAAAAAAGCTTTTGTTCATTTAGTCCCTTTTTTTCTTTTTTCTTTTTTTTAATTAGCAAATATAAGTTCATGGAAATCAATTTCTTGAATCGTAAGAAAGGGCTCGAAATGAAAATACCCGAGATCAGAAAAACCTTAACTGCTGTGGAGTTCTTGGTGTCAAAACAAGTGGGTTTAAGGATTCGAAATCATGTTTTGACAAGGAAAAGGTTCTCATTTGGTGATTCTTTTATAGGACACCGATGAACCGATAGAAACCACCTTTGAATTAAATGATACGATGTGGGCCGCTGCTAAGATCAAATCGACAAAGACCATTTATTTATGGCTTGGGGTGAATTCAAGCAATAATTTAATAATAATTGACGATTGCAGATGTAGACCTGGGTTTCGTACTCCCGGTAATTTGCTAACCGCGTAATTTATTTACATAGGCCAATGTAATGCTCGAGTATACACTGCAAGAAGCAAATGAACTCCTAGAGAACAAGCTATCTACTGCTCAAAACACGTTAAATAATGTGTTGGAGGATTTGGAATTTCTCAGGGAACAAATTACCACTATGGAAGTTAGTATCCTTCTGAAAATCGCCAAAGAACGATGTCAGGTTCATTAATCATATGGCAAGGGTGGTTGTTATTCCTTGATTCATCTTAACTTTCTAGATACTGCGCGTGTTTATAATTGGGATGTCAAGCAACGGAGGCTTGCGAAAGTTGGTCAACAACCAGAAAATAGTTGATAACGAAAGCGCATCTATTACTCCTCCAATGAACTTCGTGCTGGTTTTCTGATTTTTTTAAATCCCCAGTTCAAATTGGATCATTTATGTCGAGCCAATTTATTTACACTACGCATTTCGTTTGTATCATTACACTAATAGAATGTTGATGGTGTTACCGTATTACTTCAGATATCGTCACATCATCAGGTTTACGCGATGGGCACTTTCGGGAGGTTCCATTGGGATGTTCCTCTTATAGGTTGCTGTCAGTTGACATTAATAATGCATAAATGTCATTCCTCCAATTGATGTCAATATTTATCGTCTATAAAATCAATGAAATATTCAATACCTGCTGGATCATAGCCATCCTTCTGATGTGACCCATTATAATTATCCTTTTGAATTATCGGAGCAGAAGGCGGAGGTTTATTCCGGGTTTTAATTGGTCGAATCTGAAGAAACCAATTAGTCAACCGTTAATTAAAATAAAAATTGCTTGCCGGATGGCAAAGAAGAATTTAAAACGATTACTTTTAATGCTTCCTTAACAAATTCGTACGGTATCGCTCCTAAAGTACCATCGTATCTGATTCCGAGGAAGATAGAGTTTTTCAACATTTTTCTCAATTCAATAGTAACCACCAACATTCAATACTGACCGGTTCTTCTTGATGTGCAAATACCTTTCTTCGCCCTCTTCGGTTTCCAATCGTTGAATTATTATGACATTGTCCGCTTCCTGTGTAACCTTTGCCGACCCAAATATCGAGTTCACGTCTAACAGTTCCCTGTTGTCTTTCCTCGGGTGTACCACCAAGGTGATGTGAACGTTTCGTTCGGTGGCAAATTTACGAAACGCCGATATCGCGCGTTCCTGTATTTCAAACCGATCGAAAAACCTTCCTTGTTCCGAGGTCATGAATTGTAGATTATCTATTATTATGTGTTGCACGTCGAAAGCATGGATCGCGTGGTTCATGGCATCAATCACGTTCGAAACTTCGGTGCTACCGAAAAATTTCAGGAAATACATTGGTAACTGATGTAGGATATTCGTAATCGACGCGTTAATTTCAATTTCATCTGAAAGGAAAGTTTTATGAACTATTTCTGGAAGGTCACCTGTTGAAACTTAATCGCCCATTCACTAAACTCCTCCGGGCAGCTTGACAAATCCTTCTCGGCATATTGCGTCAACATCCTCTTTGCCAAACGCACATTAGGTATTTCAAAGCTCCCCCACAAAGTGCTTACGCCCGATTTGCAATAATCCAGTGATAGTTGACTGAGAATGGTCGTCTTTCCGGTACCAGTGGGACCCGTGAATACTGTCAGTTCACCTAGTCGATGCCCTTTCATGACTTTATTTAGTGCCGGTAAATCTTTAGATAGAATTCCGCGAACCTGCTCCGGATTTGAGATCTCTCGGAACACTGAATCTTTCATGCTCTCGAAGTCAAGAATTTGTTCGTGCTGCAATGGTTTTGCTTGTGCAAGGATTTCTTTCAAATCCTTTCCCTGTTCCAAGGCTTCATGCGCGTTGATCGGTCCGGTGAAACCGCCACACCTCGTTTTCACAATGAGGCAGCGATCGATTCCCAATTTGTCCGCAAACTTTTCGGCCGAATCTTGACCATTTACATCATCATCAAGCCAAATGTATATTCGGGAAAACCTCTCTAGAAGAGGAAGCACTTGCATCGGTAATTGATTTGCTTGATTTGGAAGGCAGGTAGCCGGTATGCTCGTTTCCTGGTAAGCTGCCATCGCATCATATTCATTTCCCGTTATTATGATGGTTTCGTTCTCTAATTTAGCCAGGTGATAGCCAAAAAGGCCCGGACAAAATGCCGGCGGGTCAAACGCGACCAATTCGCCATCATTAACCGAACAAGCCTTTACTCGCACAATTTTCGATTTCAGGGCATCACTCAGTCCCCTGTCAAATTCTGGTGATGTTCGTGGAAAGGTTATGCACAGTTCCTCCCCACCTGATTTTCTCGCGAGAAAATCCTTGGAATTTGACAATGACGGATTAATGTTTTGATATCTCGCAACACCCACTTTGTAGGCGATAAGTGTCTCCGACGTTAGGCCATGTTTATTAATAAGCTTGTCTACAATTTGTTGATCATTCTGTAATGTTTGTGAAAATTGTTCGATCTCTTCCTCTGATTTGGAAAATGTTGACTTGCCTCCAAATCCCATTTGTGAAGAGTTGATTATTTGATAATTGCTGGTTTTAGATACTAACTTTACGTACTCGCTCCATGAACCTCCTTTAAGACATTTGTTGCACTGAAACGTGCCCAAGTTGATATTTATTCGGACTGAGTAAGAGGCCGTTTTTCTTGGGCAAACTGGACATCGGATCCTCAATTCATAGTCGTTTTCCGTTTTTCTGGGAAATTTAAGATTCTTGTTGAGGAATTCCAGTACTTCGTCTGGTTTGGGGTGATAATGCTTTGAAAGAAAGGGCGTGAGCGGGTCTTGAACAGGTTTATCCCGAAAAGTTTGAAAATAACGCGTAAAACAGATCTGAGCTTCAAATCGAGAACCAGAAAATGTCTGTCTCCAAATACTCCTCCGAATACCTGCAGCGTAAATCCTATAGTTAAGAGATTTATTGAATATTGGTAGCGATCGCCGCAACATTTTTTAACAAACGTATACTTTTTGCGGATAGGATTCTACCTTCATGAGAAATACACACTCGCGTCCAAAAAAAAAAGTAGCGTGACTGTGACATCAAGTGTGTATCCCGATTGGACGATCGGATTTTAATAAAACTACCTATGTATATTTTAGTAGAAAGATCAAAAAAACCAATTCAAGGTATTGTCATTACATATTTACATGTGTACTGTAAATATAATGTCGCGTACTTCGTAATGCCCTGCAATGCTATTTTAGGACGCACGTGTAACAACATAAAACACAATATACGCAAATCGAAATTTTGTTCATACAGCACCGTTCCTCAGCCATGTCGACCATTTCTTCCGCAGGCTTTACGATTAACCATGCATCCGCTACCAACTGGCAAGGAGATTTGTTGATAAAGTTGCAGGCGAGAGATAGAAGGGAAAAAGCGTTCACCGATTTCGTCGATTCCTGTAAGTTTCCATACGACATTACGGGAAATCAACGATTAAAGCATTTACTAGCTTGACACGCCTTGTGCCAAGTAGGATGTTCATGATCGTTGTCATCATGGGGAAAAAGAATATTTCTCAATATTCTACGCGTGATTTAAACTCGGGGTCTTGGTGTAGAGTTCAATCGTCACTTTTCATAATGATTCCACTTTATATTGCCTATTAGATAATTCACTAGTTCAAAAACTCGGGAAGTTTGCCGAGAGAAATGCGGAGTTAGAAATTTCAGAAAAGTCGGCTACCGAAAAACACACCAATTTATCGCGGGAGGTTGATATATTACGAGAGCAAGGGTAAGCCGTTAGCCTTTTCGATCGCGATAGGTCAAACTTGGATGAATTCTTGAAAACACGAATTCACACTAGTTTGTTCAATTAAAGTTCATCACAGATATTTATTTGAACATTTTCATCTATGTAATTATTAATATAGTTATCAATGATATAACTATTAGGAGCCCCATAAATCAGAGGAGGACATTAGAATTAGAACAGCAAATCCAAAATCTGAAGGAAGAACGGGCGGAATTGTATAAAACTCAAGGAACGAATGCTCAAAGATTACTAGACCTGAACGACGTTCTAAGAAATCTTGAAGAACAGTCCAAAAAACAACAAGAAGAGTAAGCATTATTTTTTAAGATTTACAAGTAAACCCGAATTTTTACCACATGTTTGTAATAATTTGAACTGGGCTGTCTATAATTCAACAGTATTCAGAGGTTAACCGAGATCAATCAAACACTGACCAAAAAAGTTGACATTCAGGTTCAGGTCCTACGAGAGAAGGATGTTACGATACAGGTAATTTATTATTTACCCGTATGCCCGCATAATTTGGTCGTCGTGTGTTTATGAATTCCCGTGGTGTATAGCTGCTGCAAGATGAAGCCGCAACGCTGCAACTGGAGTTAGGTAAGATGGATGAACGCATGAAGGATCTAGAAAAGGAAAACGGACAACTTCTGCAACGATGGTTGAAAAAAATGAACGAGGAGGCGGATAAGATGAATGAGGCTAACTTGTTTTACGAAAGGTTTCTGTCGTTTTAATTCACTCTTCATGCCTCAGCTTCCCCATTTGCTTACGATCAAATTGCAACGACATATTTTTTTAAGTGCACTGGAGGTTCATGCAAAAGCGTTAGAATTTCAAAGTGGCGTTGTAATTGTGGACAAAGAGTTCACCCCTGCGCCTAAACCTGCCTCGCTACCGGAAGCCGGTTCTAGTTCCGGCCACACGAGGTATAGGCCCCCGATATATAATTAATTTAATCAACCAATCAATCAATCCTAATTAATCAATGCTAAAGTCGTTCCCGTTCAAATAGATCAAGAAGCCGATCTCTTAGTCCCATTATAATACCTTTGGCTGTGCTTAAGAAACTTGTGTGTATTGTTTTGTTTTCATACTGCTGTAAATTGTTCCTCGGTTAAAAAAAAAAAAAAAAAAAAAAAAAAAAAGGCTAATGAGGTTTAACGCTTGAGCCAGACTCCTCACGACGGTGAAATACACGCGATTCAGGCGTCCCCTGACGGTAATTCGTTTGCTACCGGTAGTGCAGACAAAACTATTAAAATCTTCGATGCGACCACAGGTTAGGATGCAATGAATATGAGCGTGCCAATGTTTTCTCAACTTCTAAATCGACATTACTCATTTTTCAGGGCAGACGAAGCAAACCTTATCCGGCTCTATACAATCAATAATGCACGTGTCATTCAATAATACTGGTGAAATGGTTGCCGGCGCATCAAACGATAATGCTGCAAGATTGTGGCACCTGAAAACGGGCAGAATAAGAGTATGCCTTCTGTTTTCTCGGATTCACCGATCCCCCCAATAAAGGTACCATTCTAAATGATCCCTTTGAATTTAGCTCACCTTGACCGGTCATGTCGGAAAAGTATACTCCGCAAGGTTTAACGGTGATTCCAGTAAAGTGGTAAGAATTTTCGTGATCTTTTGTACGAATCAAAGGAGTTTTTATATGTTCACCGTTCAATTTCCTGACAGATTACCGGTAGTCATGATCGCACGATTAAAGTATGGGACTTACAAAAAGGATATTGTATGTTAAATTAAACAAATGCGTTCACTCTTCTTTCTCTTCACTCTTTCTTTTCTTTTTTTTTTTTTAATTCAGAAAGTTATATAAAATTTAGGCATTAGAACCATATTTTCATTTTCTAGTTGCAATGATGTAGTTCCCTTAGACGAAGAAGGGTATTTAACATTTCATTCTTCACTGTTCATTCAGCTATCCTGTCTAGTTAAAATTTAATAAGTTGATGCATCTTTAGAACGACGCTTGTCAGCGGTCATCTGGATAATAATTTGAGATTCTGGGATGTGCGATCTGGTAAAGACATTAAGGAGCTAACGGGTATCCACCTTGGTCAAATCACCTCGGTTTCCGTATCTCCCGGTATTTGGACATTTCAATCGATCCACTGGTTTATAGTGAACGTCTTTGTCATTTATTCACCGATAACTTTTCATGTTATACAGACGGCTCTAAGGTTTTGACTAATTCGCGGGATAATACACTGAAATTGGTCGACCTTAGGACTTACGATGTTGAACAAACATTATAGTGAGTTAATTCTCTTTTAACGCTTATGCCCTTATCTCCACCTTTCATTACGAACCGCTATAATCGATCACACAACTTTATTTAGCGCTGATGGGTATAAGAACGGTGCTAATTGGTCCAGATCTTGCTTTAGGTGAGTAATGAATTTGCGCCCTTCGCGGTGAGTTTAACGAAGTTCAAGTTCTCAACTTTTTTTTTCTATTGAACAGTCCCGACGGAAGATATGTTGTGGCGGGCTCATTGGGTAAACAATCTTATTCCTCAATATCCGAAATTCAGTTTCAAAAATCGATTACACTGTATAATTCTGCTCTTCATTTCTCTGCAGACGGCACTATATTTTATTGGAACATTCAAAAATCCAGATTGGAGAAAACTGTGAAAGAACATAAGTATGTTTTTTATCTATTTATTTATTTTTAGAAAAAACTAATTCGGAACCATCTAATTGAAAACCCTTTCTTAAGTGCACCCATCTGCGGGGTTTCGTGGAGTCCTGAGGGGCGTCAGGTGTTCAGTGCTGACAAGGATCGTACGGTGATCATTTGGTCCGGTTTGAGATGACCCCATTGGTAGAGTGCCTGTAATTAAAGTTTTCATCTCACGTATAAACGAAGCAGCTTAATGAATCTAATTTTCTCAACCAAATCACACCAAGTTGTCATTTAATTTATTTCATTATTTCAATATTGGTTCTTTGTCACCATTCATTGAAATTTGTATTATATAATCGACCTGGATTTTCCAGCATAGGTTCCGTAGCAAACCTTTTATATGTACTAAAATGTTTTTCCCTGTGACCTCGAATGTTTATTTATCCCTATACTCTCTCATTAAAACTCTGAATTTGTCCTTGAATTCACATAACTCTAAGTATGACCCTTTCAGATGCCTCTCGCCATCAAAAGCGGTTCTAGAGTGTAAGACGCGTCGGTTAACAAAGATAACCAATTCACCGGGTTTCAATTTCAGTTCGTATTTCAACTCGGGGTCTTCAATGAAGGCACAAAATCTACGATACGCTTGGTAGAATTTAAGTGTCTTTTCATCATCGTCATCGGGTTCATCGCTTTCCATTTGTGAGACTGTTGGTGGCGTGGAGGGCAAGAGAGATTCGATTGGACCGCTGAACGGAGGACTGTAATTAACAGTCATCGTGCCATTGTGCTCATCTATGGCAATTGCGGGACGATTGTAATGCATGTGATGACCATTATTAATAAAGTTGAAGGTTAAAGCGGTTTTTGTCAAAAGATCGAAATCTTCGGGAAATGTCAACTTGAAGTTGTCCGCCGCCATCAGAGAATCCGTGAATATGTTCGTGCCACCAACCTCGGAATTTTTCAGGCAGTGCAAGAATTGTAATCCAGGCGGAGCCTCATAATACCTATCGATTATAATGATCAAAATCTCTTTCATTTCGTGAATTTATTTCCAGAAATAAAAAAAGTTCGTGCTTACAACAGATCCATGTGCAATCCCAACTGTAGATTCGTGTAGGCAATGTTTTTTGCATCACGGGCTGATATTACGTCAAAGACATCACCGTAAAAGGAGGATCTTATTGTGCCGATTCTCTTCACGACATTTTTGATACTTTCATTACCGTCGTCAGCATTCAAGTCAACTGGCACTCCTTTTAAGAATACCAAACCGTAATCCCACAATTGTCTGAGAGATTTCAATAATTCCTTATCACAGTTCATGTAATCACTGTGATCGATCCAGAGATTTGATTCCAGGATAGAATTACGATTCCAGGTGGTTGGCTTCATGTCATTAAATCGAATCCGGTCTGCGGAGAATTTTGAACCGTAGGACTTTAGAAATGAAATTGGATACGCGCTTCGATGAACCTCTCCGTTAGGAAGCAAATTTGGTGACGACGACAGTATTGTTTGCGGCGTCGGTAGCTTTGATAACGATTCATTCCACGTAATCTCCACCGTCTCCTCACCCTTTTCGTTCGATACGACATTAACGCATGTCGGTTTTACGTCGAGCGGAACTTCCGAGCTCGAAAAAAGTCTTTGCCTGTTATCCGGATGAATGCATTCTGGGCATTGACAATTGTCGCGCAACCAAATATAATTAAATTTCGAGTTATGCACCGAATTTTTCCAATTTATTATGAGCGAATTTGGTTTTATTACAATCTGTTTGATCGATGGACTTTTATCATAGTTGTGATGATGATAAAACCGAATGTACTTTGGCGAAGAAGCAAGACTAAGATGACGAATGGTTGTGAAAAAGAAAGATGGAATGCGCGATGAAAACATGATTTTAAAAAAGCCGGTAGTTTTCGCATCAATCAATTTTTATGGAGGAACGGGTGACACCATCAACGATCTTGACAAAAATGGCCTTGATGGCCGTTAAGCCCGAGAAATTCGTTTACGTTTACCGGCGGTTTTTCTTTTCCCCTCTATTTCCACCTCTTCTTCCTCCTCCGACTCATCATCCGAAGACTCGCGAAAACTCCCCAAATATGAGGATTCGTCGGTGAAAAAATTTTCCTCGGATTCAACACTTTTCAATTCGTCGCTGTCCCCTTCAACACCCTCATCGCTAGTATGAGCGCCACTCGATTCTTCATCGTTTTCATATGTCCTATTATAAATATCCTCTTCACCGCGAATCGTATCATCATCGCGAATTGTGTCTTGCGAATACAACAATTCCCCTAGCAGTTGTGATGGCGTGTCCACTGATCCCTGATGAGACGACGGAAGCGGCGTGATCTCCTTTTCCTTTTTAAATTTGGATATCACCTGCTCGGCTGATAGATGAGGCACTTTCTCGACACGCGTCGGGCTTCGAAACTCATGGGTCGTAGGTGTTTCAACTTCGGTCCGCGTGATCGTCACCGTGAACGGATATTTATCCTAGAATGGATTTTCGATACAACTTTTAGAAGGCCATGAGAGCGATGGGTTGTACGAGAGATTTTTCTCAACCTACGTGAATCAATGCTAAATGTTCGTCATTATGAATCTCTACTTTATTGTTCTTACTAATTTTCTCCGTTCCTCTCGTCATCGAATTAGACCCGAGCTTTTTTTTAATTCATAAATAATTCGCTTAATATAATTCCGAGTTTCACACGAACAGGCTATGCACACGAATCTTTATCACATATTTACGACTGTGGCGTAAACTCGTCCATCTTTGATCTCGAATAGAACTTTATAATTGTAATTGCGCGTGTTAAACAACAGGAGTCGCGAGACTGCAAATTATATATCACGAGTTTTTACAAAACCAACTACTACCTTGTTTCTTGCTTATAGATGGATCCGGTGGAAAACTCGAACGGCCAAGTTCTAGACTGTCCGGTTCGGTAAAGGTGAAAGTCTTATTGACCGGTTCATTAAAGCGTATTACCACGTGGACTGTCATTTCAAAAACAAAGTTCACTTATTCCTTATGTATGACCCAGGGACTGCGTCTGGTCGGGATATGCGTTGGCCAATCATATAATAAATTTGACCTCAGAATATTGAGGGAGCAAGGATATCCATCAGTGGTAGGATCGCCATAAAATAAATACACTGCCGCGTTGGAAGCAAATGAAGAGTGAATTTTATAATAGGGATACAAAAGACTTGGAAATTTATATATTTTATTATTTTTTTTTTTTAAAAAAAAAAAAGGAAACAAACGAATTCCATTAAGACAATAAATATTTTGTTACGCTCCGGCTTGAGTATGAGTCCCAAAATCAATACTTACCCAAGTAAAATATGCCAAGATTTTATGTTCCACCTTAAGGCATGGATTGATCGTTTTCGTATGCCTCACAGAGAGCGTGCAACGCTTCTTTCGTTTCCACGAAATCATCACGAGACATACCATTGGTTCCGTCTTTGAATTCAGGCAAAAGATCAAAATTGGCTTTTTGAAGCGAGTTTACATAATCTTGTAGCAACGCATGTGTTCGAGTAGATACGGTAACATTGGTAAGCACGGGGACTGATTTAACCTTGCACGTGGATACGGTTCTCGAACTGTCGACATAACCATCCGAGTTCAAATTCATAAATATGTTGGGAAAGGAATTTGGAATGGGGTAGGCTAAACCTGTTGCATAGAAATGATCGCTTCCATTTCTAGCAAATTGTAACTGTTGAAATAAATTCGGCTTGAAGTCAAAAAATTTCTTTGATTTATCCCCCGGTATTCCCCTGACCACGATGGACTGTCCATACGTCATCGGGAAATTCTGAACACGACGTGAGATGATTATTATTAACAGAAGATCAAAATTGGTTCATCTATAGATTGATGTGTTTTCCTTGCCTGTTCGCGACACTGTGGAAATGACAAATCAATCACATTATCTTTATTTGAGTGATGAAGGTCCCCAGACCCACTAATGAGAAGAGGAAGCAAAACATCGAGCATTCCAATCTTCGTGTTTCCTCGCCATGATAATCTGCCTATTAGATCACCCATGTGCATAAAATCATGTTTCGATCTAAAACGAGATATCATTAGGTAAATGGATGAGTAAATACTCGCGAAATTTTAGAAAGAGGCATTCATTAAATTTTCAAATAGCTCAATAATTACCTGAAAGGTAAAGTCGCTGTTTCGATCGCTGAAGAAATAATACTACTAGAGTGATAAGGGAGATTGAACTGTGGTGAAAGATATAAATCAAAATAATCAAAATGAAGATAGTCTTAATTTAGGTGAGAGCAAACAGAAATCGATCTTACGTTTGGCTGTATAAATCTGGGCATTGGTCTGTAGGGTGGGGAGGTGCTCAGAGGTATGAACAACGAAGACATCTCTGACAATTGCACTACGCTAAGAGAAGAATTAAACGTCTGTTTCATATAGCCACCCTGCGAGTAATGTCAAAAGGAAAATTAATGACAATCGACGTAACAACCATTTTATTTTTTTTACCAACCTGCCCGGGTGGTGCCAATTTCTGGGCCTCGGTTATGCCAAAACTCAAAATTGTACTCTTCGGGTATTCTTCACGTAATCGTTCAAGAAAGCCGCACGCGAATCCACCAAATCCATCGATAACATCCGCTGTCACTTGAAATCCCTTAATTTGAAAATGGTAATTAAGCTTAATGAACATCGTGTCTAATTACGCGCTAATCCCTTTAATACGAGACCAATCAAGCTTGCCTGTATGGTATCGCATTCTTCGGCGAAAAATCTAAAATTTTCTTCAAAAGAGTTTTCTTCCTAAACATGACTACAAATAATTATACGCACTAAATTCAGAATAGGAGAAAAAAAAACCAAGGGAAGATCATCTCACATTCTCGTCTTTCACGAAAGCATTCTTTCCGTATGTAAATACGTCAAAGGGAAAAATCTCGTTATCCAGTCGAAACTCTGAAATGGCATTGACACTTTTTGGATGATAATACATGCGGTTGAAATCGGACCATGTCTTCACAGTTTGATCCAAATTAAAATCTCTTTCATCAAAACTGGTACCCTCCTGATTTGTGGAATCAGAGGAACAAGCCTTTTCCTCCTGTTTTATTATTTATGTTATTATTATTATTATAAAAAAATTTTTTTTGAGAAAACTTCAATTCGTAATTCAAAAATTGCATGACGAACGTCAGTTCAATTTGATCACCTCTTCTTCTAGGCTATTCAGGAATTCATTTTTGGGGTATGAAGTCTGAGAGTAGACTTCAGATTTACAATTCCTGTGTTAAATTGTTTCATGCATGCATAAATGATAGTTTTGGGGTCTTTATCAGAGAATAAATAACAAAGGTACCATGATTGATCTGGTTCACATTCCGCAATCTCTTCATATAACTTGTTCATTTTTTTGATCGATCCGAAACCATCTAAAGAAAGGTATTTCTCAAGTTAAATCTTAAAACATAATATTGGTGAAAAGCGAGCTCGCGAATTTTACCTTTTAAATCATAAATCATTAGTCGTGGCGTATAGGTTTCGATTCCCTGAACAAAATAAAAATTATAACTTGGGCGCTGGTTTTTTTTTTTTTAAAAAAAAAGGAATTTAATTAAGTACAGAAATTAAACGGATACTTCACCCTTGGAGTGACTCCTGCACGAAAGTGTACATCGTGCACGATTTCAGGATCAGAAGAATTCCGCGCGCTGTCATACGAAAAGTAAGATTCCTGAGGCGAAAGGAGATTCGTGAGTAACAGCAAAAAAAAAAAACTCTTCCATTTAAAGAAAAGCAATAAACCTGCGCATTCCAAAAGTGAGTTCCTACGAAATTTGCGTAATGGCCAAATTGTAAGGTTAAAACTTCATGCATCGCGAAATTGTCGCGAAAATGCAAAAATCTGACGATTTATGGCATTTTGGGGGTAGGTCCCCGAATTACTATTTTAGAATGTCGTTTTCGTCATACATCACACTTTAAAGTTCTGCCACGTTCGACTCATTCACAAAAATTATGGCGGAGTTGTCTAACGTAAGTGATGTGAACGATTCGAAAGACAGCACGTCCGAAAGCGAATCTTCAAGCGAAGTTGAGGAAGTAAAGAAAGTGAGTCTGACTAGGCGGAGGAATAAACACCGGTTAGAAGATTGAGATAAACAGCTTTCAATTCTTCAAAATTGGAAATTGACTAAATGCAATTTCTGCACCAATTCAAGACCATTGGAAATTTCATCTAAAAAGCCCGTTGGTCGTTTCAGACGAGTTGTCGATCTGTCTTCGAATGTAAGTGTGCATTAAATTTTTTTCCATTGCCTTTACATCGGTCATAGGGCTAACCAGTTCGTTACAGGTAAAGAAAAGACGTGACCCGCGTTTCGACAACCTTTCGGGTAAATTCAATGAAGATTTGTTCGAAAAGTCATATGACTTTTTGAATGAATACAAAAAATCGGAGATCGAAGAACTTCGAAATCGGATCAATAAAGAAAAAGACCCTGAAGAGGCAGGAAAATTAAAGCAGTTATTGTCGAAATTGGTATTATTAAACAAATACTCCCCTCGTGCAACGCTCTTCGGAAGTTCCCCAGAAAGATTCGTTAATTTCATAAAAATTATGAACATAGCAATCGAAATTGTCACATGAACAGAATTTAAAGCGAAAAAAACGATTGAAACACGAACGAAAAAAGGTTGAATTGGAACTCGTCGCTCGTGGAAAGGCGCCGTTTTATCTGAAGAAGTGTAAGTCCACTATGTGCTTTTTCCTTATTATCATTAATTATATTCCCGGTAATTTAAAAAAAAATTTTTTTTGTTTTGTGTGATAGCCGAAGAAAAGAAGTTGGAGCTTGTTGATAAATTCGAAAAAATACAACAATCGAATCCTAAAGCCCTTGACAAGATCATAGAAAAAAGGAGGAAGCGTAATGCCGCTAAAGAACATAAACGGGTGCCGTTCAAGCGGCGGAAGGTCGAATGATTTCATTAATCACTTTCTATTCATTTCCACTTTTTGTTGTTTTATTAATTGGTAAAAAAAAAAAAAAAAATGAAAAATAAATAAAATGCGGAAATGATCATATTTCTGCTTGTTACCTCTCTTTAAGTCCTACGCTTTGCTTCGGACAATTAGGGTTTCGCTTCATCAATTACAGTATATGGTATACAGACGTCTAAAATGACCCGGCGATCTTTTGAATATGTAAACCAATTCGTCTCATAACTCTTTTGCATTAGGCGTGGATTGATCTCAAGGGTCTAATGAATCACTTGCAATTTTAAGACAAATTTGGAGAATTCAAAAATATCACAGTGTACAGTATACAGTATATATGCTATCTCCAAAGTTGTAATTAAAGATAGTTTAAATACCGTATATAGAAATAATAAAAAAATTTTTAAATTAAATTAAATTATAAACAATCCTTGAATTTTAAATTTTCCGTCGCGTGGTCGCGTGAATATTGGGTTCCCAAGCCTCGAGTCGCCTCGCTAATTATTATGATACACCAAGTCAGGGCGTGTGATGTGGTGAACACGTAAATCTGTTTCGTCACGTGAATAATTCACATATAAAATAGACCGTGGCTATTACATAGGGTGACCCATTCTCAACGTATTTTTTTTTGCGTCTGCTTTTTTGCTTTTCAATACTTGAGAAAAATAAAGGAACTTCTCTTCTAGAGAGCGATGTCGAAAAATACTTCTATTGATTGCCGCGAGTCCTCAAAGGACGAGTCGGAAATAATAGTGATAAATGATTCATCTGAAACAGAAATAGACGTTGCTCCTGGAGAGTTTGTGAAAAGCAAAAAAGTTTCAACTAACAAAGTTGAAGAGAAGTTGCAGAACTCAAGCGTGTCTTCTCTTTCCTACGGAAAGAAAAATAAAACTGTTAACAACTTCAATTCTATTTCCCTTCAAAGCAACAGTCGGTCCGGTGTCGTAGAGGACAGGGTTACGAAACAAGGTTTGCTTTCATTCCCCTGTTATGTGTAATTTGAAAGTCATCATGGTTAACCAAAGAGTATCTCTCTCTCTCTCTCTCTCTCTCTCTCTCTCTCTCTCTGCGAAATAACAGGTTTGCATTTTCGAAGTTGGTGTAGATAAATCACCGCATATCTCGTCTGAGCTTGAAACTTACTTTTCACCAGAGTTCTATGAATGACTCTTTTGCTAACCACCGTCACCACCACCATCGTCGTCATTAATGTACAGGCACCGTTCACCCTCCCCAGGTACTCGGCGCTAACTCACAATCAAATAATTGCATTTCCGAATTTGCCGTGCCCTCAAGGAACGATAATTCACGGCTAGGAAAAAGAAGGAAGATTAACATTCGGTACTTGCCATATGAGTCTGTACCACCACCAGTTCAACCGGATGAAAAGTTACTGCATTATCACCTGAACAAACCGCTGCAGAATTTTACTACGGGCGTTATTGCAGCTCAAAATTTTCCCAAGGCCACGAATGGAGATTTACACAAGATATGTGATAATTACAGTTTAAAACCAGATCTCTTAGTTAATCGAGATATTACTAAACTGTATCAGGATACCAGCATAGAAAAAATCATCGCGGATTTGGAAGATCGTGTGATGGAAGATATGACTATGAAATATGTGAAAGGTGAGGATGACTGAACCCTTGAGAAGACAATTCACTAAATTAATAGAAGCTACTTTATACGTAGTAAAAAATTTTACAAAAAGGTTTATATTTTAGAGGATAATAATATTTTATCCTCGTGAATAATAATAAACCACCTCTACAAGACGTTTCATTTTATGTTTTAAACCTTCGTGGAGGGGGCAATTCATACACACATATCGGGTAATGAGATTCGAAGAAATTTAATTAAAGATCGAATTTCCCGCATATCGACAAGGTGTGATGTATCATAAAGAAATTCTCAATCACAGACTGAATTTTTGTGTTTTTCGTGTCAGAAAGAAAAGAAAATAAAATTCTACTATGTGATTCCGTATTCTTAAAGTGACTTAATTTAGTGGAGAAACAGGGTCATAATCTCCACACTCATCGTCAATCAATGAGGTAAACCTGTGTTCACGTCTATTCTCTTTGACTGTTGCAAGATTAACACCAAGGAAACCGCCCACGACCAACAGGGCACCAAGCCAATATCCCGGACTCATGATAATCCCTTTGAAAACAGAATCCCCGAACAATGCCAATGGTATTGTCAATGATAGACCGAGCGTAACCACTAGCGGCGATGTCATGAGTACGGACAAGAGCCACAGATAATCTGAAAGAAATGTACCTACCAACGCATTAACTATTACCATGATCCAAACATTGCGATCAGGTGGGAGTTGAAATTTCTCAATGTCTGAGATGTGAAGTAGCCAAAAGAGTGGCCATAATAAAAGAATATTGTAAAGACCAACAAAACCGAAAAATAGAGGCATGTTAACTCGAGATTCGTTTTGTATTCGAAGCTTCAGTAGAACGGAGTAGCATCCGTAAAAAAATGCACCAACGAGCGCAAGGAAATCACCAAATAAGGGGTTGACGGGACTACGCGGATTCTCAGCGGATGTTTCAGAAAAACCTCCGACGGATACCAAAAAGACACCGATGACGCTGATGAACGGTGTTGTTGTTGTCATTAAAGATTCTTAGTCAAATGCCTTCTGGACAATGCTTTTTAAAATTTTACCTGATGATGACGGTCAAAAATTTGATGAGTGTAACCCTTTCAATTCCAGCGACGGAACCGAGGCTCAACGTGAAGAAACCTATGTGCAACGAACAAAACGGCGAGAGTGATTAGCAAACATCCTTCCGGTATTCGTCGTTACATTTTTTCCAATTGTCCAACCTGAAGTTGACGACAAAATCGTACTGCTCGCAACGGTCGTGTAGGCGAGGGATGCATTAGTGCACCAGTTGGCTATTATTTGATTAGACATAACTGATTGATTAGCAAGTTCCATGGTAACTTATTGGATGCGCCGGCGAATGTCGGATCTTACCTGCAAACCATAATATGCAAAAAGTAAAGCTTAATTTGGCGACCTAGAACGTGAGCGAAGGATTTGATGCATGAGTATCACGGACGTGAATTCGAATCGTACCTATATGCATTCCTTCCTACCTCGCGTGTTCTGAGCTTTTCTTCGTTGCGAAAGGATGAGAGTAAGTCGTGCGGATCGATGCGAGAGCGAATCCCTGATTAGACGGTACGTGCGCATAAAAAAAAAAAAAAAAAAAGAATCGAGTTCGTCATGCAATCAATCCTAACGCGGATGTGCTGTTTTGTGACGCAGAGTGTATATAATGATCTTCGGGTTGTGTAAAGATTTCCCGTGAATGAGGAATCAGGATGGGGAAGGGAAGCGTTAGAGACAGACGTAAAGATGTCTTGACTTACATTCATACCATTAACATCGTCGGACTTTACACTGATCGAGTCTATGGAAGATCGAGAATTGGTATCATACAACGCGTGGCTGAAATCCAATACCCTTGGAAAAAATGTTAAAGTTGAGATTGCACGTGCGAAAGAAAACTGACACGTGCTTAAAATTACGAGCGCCTTTGATACCTTTGTATGTCTACAGTGCGTTTTTTTCTAAAAATGAGATTCAATAAATAGAATGAGAAGGATGCGGTGTTTATGTATGTTATGGCAAAGGGTTTGTTATAATTTTGCTGCCCGAAAATGTTCTTCTCGAAAGTGACAAAAAGAAAGGGTTAATTAATTAACCAAGAGCGTAAGAATTCTAAGTTACTGCTTGATGTCGAACGGTGTTTGCTTACATTCATTAGAAAAGAAGAGCCAACCCATATAACCACGACACAAGACAGAATCGCGATACCAAGAGCATATCGTCTCCGTTCTCTTAAAGCCATTTCGTCTAATAATAATTGAGGACAAGCGTGGCTTGTAAATCCGAACGGCCAATTAAATATAGTTTACACGTTATTAATTCATGTGATATTATACGTATCGAGATATTTATATATACAGTATATGTACTGCTGTATATGCTGTATTTACAATACATTATAGACAAAAAAAAAAGTTTTTTGACATTTCTACTCTCGGGTCTTTTTTTTCTAAGTTCCAGATGTCTTCATTAATACGTACCCTTAAAAATCTTTTTAAAGTCGGTCCCAGGGAAGCCTATACACAAATGTTGTACATTGGCGACATCAAAGCGGGTACACTCATAGGTGTCGACAAGTTCGGAAATAAATATTACGAGAATAACGAAGAATATTATGGTACGTCCTGAAACTGCGAACGAAAGGAAGAGATCACGCACACTAAGTGAGTATCTTCTTCCTTTCCATCAATTCCGCAACTGAATTAATTGGAAACTTGCTAATTGAGAAACGCGACTTTCTCAATGAACCGTGGATGATTTGTTGTTGCTATAAGTAAAATTTCATTGTTACACTTGTAGGTCGAGAACGTTGGGTGGATTACGCTCGACACGACCTGGACCCCAGTCAAATACCAGCGGAATGGTAATTCGTCATTTTCTCTCACTTTACGAAGGAATTCGCCGAGTCCCATTAAAAGTTTGATATAATATGGAAATATAGGCATGGTTGGCTTCACAAGATAAACGATTCCCCGCCAACAGTTGATCCACCGCCAAGTTTTAAATTTCTTGCGGAGCATCAAGAAAATTTGACAGGAACTCGAAAGGCTTACAAGCCGTACAGCACCACCGTTCCAAAAGTTGCAGCCTGGGAACCGAAAGTGACGCCAAGATCATAAATGAATTGTGCTCAATTGATTGAAATCAAAGACAATCTCGAGGGTATAAACAAAGCGTACATAATCGATGAATTTAAGGATTTCTCTTTGATACTTCCTCTTTTGCAAAAGAGATGAAATTGCACGACCCTGAAAGATTACACCAACAAATAACATGAAGATTAGAAGATCAATAAAGTGTTTTGTGTGTATTATTACAGAGATGAGATGTTCACCGTTTTTTATGTATTTTCATCAAATTAACAGATATGCATGGAATCTAATATAGCAATAGATTTATTTTTATTTTATGTATATATGTATATATATATATATTTTTTTTTAACTACATGTTGTGAATGGGCCAGCCTTTGATCGCCTGTAAACATTGTCAGTTATGCTGCGAAGGCGTGAAGCAATGTTCTAAATTGATACGTATTGAATTTGAGGGGAGAGCGATATACTTTTTCCTGACACAAGAATAAAATTCCATAAAAGGAAAAACATAAACTTCTCGGTTTCACAAGTATTCAGCCGTTGTCCCTTACAATCAGAATATCCCCCCCCCCTATCACCCCGTCTTAATAACGGCTCCGAAAAAAATTTCGTGTCTGACCTAGAATTATACCGTGGACTTAGTCTAACCTGAACATAAGCCCTATAAATTAAGTAACACACATTCTTAGCGGCCAATATATCTCTTTAATTCTACCACCAATAAACCCATCGTAAACATTTAAGAGACTCCAATGGCTTCTCGAAAGAAGGTTCTTTTGAAGGTAAGAACGGTTCTTTGAGAGATCCTGTGTAGCTCGCTCGCTAAGACCGAGGGTTTTCATTTTGGTGGATAAACTTTTAAGGAAAATTTTATTGCTTTGTTTCAATAATAGGTTATCATTCTGGGTGACAGCGGGTAGGTTAAATCGTGTGTTTTCGACGTCACGCCTTGTGCAGGTGGCCCAGAGATCTTTTTAGTGGGTGGAACGTGGTTGGTTCTCGAGAATGATCCCTTTCTAATCAGACCTCTCTTTTCATTCTATGTGCGAGCACAGCGTGGGTAAGACTTCGTTAATGAATCAATATGTAAATAAGAAATTTAGCAACCAATATAAGGCCACCATCGGTGCTGATTTCTTGACCAAAGAGGTCATGGTTGAAGATCGTCTTGTGACAATGCAGGTTAGTTCATGAAGTTATTTTTCATGGAGGAAAATCAGCTCACCCGTTATTTATCGCACTTCACTTCCGAAGATTTGGGATACTGCGGGTCAAGAGCGCTTTCAATCCCTAGGTGTCGCTTTCTATCGCGGGGCTGATTGCTGCGTTCTGGTCTATGACGTGAACAATGGAAAGAGTTTCGAGACATTAGACAGTTGGAGGGACGAATTCTTAATTCAAGCCTCCCCACGAGATTCCGAGAATTTTCCTTTCGTTGCCTTGGGTAATAAAATTGATATGGAAGAATCGAAGAGAGTGGTATTTCTTCTGTCTACTCATTATTGTCTTTGAATATTGTGAATTACCGGTTTTCAATCGTTTTCTTTTTTTTAAATCTTAGGTCTCCCAAAAACGTGCGATGACCTGGTGCCAGTCAAAAGGTAACATTCCCTACTTTGAAACAAGCGCCAAGGAGGCGATCAATGTCGAACAAGCATTTCAAACCATCGCCAAGAATGCTTTGCAGCAGGAGACTGATCAAGATTTGTAAGTTGTTATTGCCAGATTATTCATTGGAATTTTTGCATCTCACAGAAGTTAACGAGGCTTCTTCTCTAGTTACAACGATTTCCCGGATCCAATCAAAATTGATAGCGAGGCAGCCAAATATGATGGCTGCGGGTGTTGATGAGGAAGTTTTTTTAGCTTAAGCGTGAATCAGATTTCCCGGTTTGATTCATTTGATCGGTGAAGCTTGGACATTCTCATGTATCTCCCATTTATCTACAATGAGAATTCGAAAGAGTACTACAACCATCACACATTGCTTCTTTTTTCAATCAATTAAACCATCTTTGCCACCATTATCATGTGTATATTTGTGTCCACCAAAAAGTTTCCTTTTCTTTCGTTTCCTTTTTTCTTGTTTTATCATAATCATACTCTATGTTTTCTGTATTATTTCTTTACTTCTTTTTTCCTTCTTTACTTTGGGAGTCTTTTGAGATTTGCAGGTTACCTAGGTGACATCACACTTACACAAATATTTTGTACAATTAACATTCTAAACTCTGATTCTTAATTATCCATTTTTAATAAAAATTTGCTTCCGAATTTATCGGTCGAGAGTAACAACCGATTACGAAGGAAAGACTAATGTAACGCTCACAATAATTTATTTATTATTTTATTTATTTATTTTTTTTTTTATTTCCGTACCCATTATTTCTCGAGTGGGATATGTTTGCTCGTATTTTTGGCAACTGCAATAAATTTTATCCAAACAAGGAAATTAACCAGTTGTCGGCGTCCACATCCAAATAAGGTAGAATTTTATTTCGGAATTTTTGGGGGCAGTAGCGTCAGCCATAAATCGGCTTCTTCAAATTTTCGTGATTGGCTATCCTGGCCATGCGAAAAAACACATTTTTTAAAGTATACGGAGGTTTTTCGCACAATTTAAAGACACATCAAAAATTTTTTTATCCTTGGAACTCGTGCTCCTCTTTGAAACTCCTAATCGCTCGAAATTATGCTAGTGGCTCCCAGGATATTCCGTTGACGAGTGCTGGATATGAAGAAAGTCAACTCCTGGGTATTATGGGTAGGTCATAATTTTTTTGGATTTTTTGACATTACTCTTTTATTCACTGATTCCGTCCTTTCTCAATGTATCAAGATGCCTATTGCTCTCCCAGACAATGGCCTTCATTCTTTTCGAGAAATTTTTTCCGCACGCTGAGAGAATATTTAAGTAACAAAGGAAAAAATCTACAACAGTAGGTCTCTTTATTTTGGATTTCGCCGTTCAAACATCAAAAAAAAAAAAAAACACGTCGTTTCTTTGTTATCAGTCGCGTGCGGTTATTATCTGCCAAGAAGGATATCATTGGAAAGGCGGAGGCTCTGGAAATATATACCGAGATGAACAAACAATTTGCTTCGTGGGTTCTACAATCAATTGATGATCGATATTTCGATTACTCAAATTTTAAAGACCGTTGATTTGCACCATTAGGGGAAACTTGAAAGCGCTGCGTAGCCTCGTCACCGATCCGATGTACTACGTAAGTAACCCTCTTTTCAATGCATAAAAAAATTTTTTTTTTTTTTTTTTAAAAAAAATTTCTTTTCACTTTATTGTCATTGCAATTTGACATGAAAAGAAACTCAAATTTGAATTAAAGAATCATCGAGAGCATGGTAGCAAAATTTATTGGCAGATTCATGGCAATGCAAAGAAGCCAAAGTATGAATGCATCCGTTATAATAAGGGGGGGGAATTCTCTATCGCGCAATCGATATTGAAACTACACACCAGACAAGTAAGTTGCCTGCTTTACCTTTTCTCACGACTTAATCCAACACTCTCTTGACAATTTTGCCTAATCAATATCAAGAGCCTTGCAATCTTTAACCAGAATGGAAGACTAATAGGTGGAAATCCCTCCAAAGTTTATGATGTGATCGAATATGTTGCATTCCAACGCAGGTTATTTAAGGAGAAGGGAGAAAGTGAGGGGTGGAAAGTAAAAGGTTATTGTAGTCGAGATTTGCCAAATTTTGTCACCAAACCACAGGGATCCACAGAAGCATAAGAATAGTTTTGATTATTTGCAAATAATAATATTTAGGTAATTTTGAAATAACCGAAGTCGAGGAAAGGATAATTAAAATTTATAATGTAACGTCCAAAATCCCGACAAAACTTCAACATCGCACCGACTAAGCATATACCGAAAATTCATTTCTTTCACTCCTCCTGGTGGTTGAACACACTTTCCTTCGCTCTTCCCCTAGCAGAATAGTTCTTACGATAATCACTTCCATACCCATCTAACATTCCTCTCTGTGAAAGGGTCATCCGAGAATTACTGCCCAGACGTTCATAAATTTCCTCGGGAATCCTCCCCCCATTCCTAGCCTTCAGATTAGCGAGAGTTGCGGCTCGCTTTTTCAACTTTGCTACGCGTCTTTTGTTTTCTAATTCAGTCAATTCATCATTGGTGGGAGCGGTTAATACCCCAATGATGACTTCTGAGAACCATCCTGCTGTAGCTCCAACGCAAACTCCGAGAAATGCTGCGACACTAAAGAATGCAAGCAGCGGAAAAAATAATGATAATATACTCCACAAATACGTAAAAGGTGTGTGGATAAATATTGTGTATAATGTTACGAGTGTCCAAACTATTGGATTTATCACGAGGGTGAAAAGAATGTTGAAAGTAAAAGTGAAGATGTGAATTAGAATCCCCAAAGAATTTACAAAAACTTCGTTTTCAGAGGAATGGTCCTTGTTATAGTCCTCGTTTCTCGTCGAATTGTTATCGTGGTGAGGTGAAGCCTCACGAGCTCCGGACGGAATTATTATACAGCCGAGGGTCACCGCTAAGACCACAAGGTAAAAAGTCTGGTTTGCCCTGCAAGACGACATCAGTGTTATTCACATTAAACGCGATAATAGAAGCGTTTCTTTTTTTTTAAAAAAAAAATACGATTCTCCATATTTTAATATTATCATATGCAAATGACATGTAAAAAAAATCATTCCTTATCCGAACTTTTTCACATTGTTCACGTGATGGAATGATGAAACCCCTACCAGAACTGAATTATGTAATAAATGATCGACTTTATTAAGTGGATGGATAATCGTTAAATCAATTAAAAACCTTTATTTTTTTCCTTAACCAGGCCAGTAAGTACATATTCATTCAAGTAACTGAATATATATGTACTATAGTTAAACATAAAAAATTTTTTTTTGAAATAAATGTATTATGTATATATTATGATTAAATTTATATTTAATCAATATATTTAAGTGAAATTATTTTTAAAATAACAATATTTTCATCAACTCTTTTCTATTCACCTGTGACATAGCAAACCCAGGTTACAAAACATCAAAAAGTAACAAAATTATGGAGAGATCCAAAAACAATAATACATAAATAGTAGATCAAACTACAATATAAATAAGATATCTAAAAAAAAGATTATTCTTATTGAAAAAAACAAAGAACAAACATCTAAAAAGAAGCACACAACCATAATTCAAAGTAAAAATGAAATAAAAAACAACTCTCTCCTTCCAAAACCACTTCTGTCCTCAAATAAAGTTACACAAACAATACTATAACAATAATAAGTAGTAAAAAAAGTAACAACAACAGTTTCAGCTCATGAAGAAGCAAGTTGAATGAAAACAACTTCAAACATCAGCAGCCTTAAAACAGTTTCAGCTCATGAAGAAGCAAGTTGAATGAAAACAACTTCAAACATCAGCAGCCTTAAAATACACAGTCACTAAAAAGAACTCTCTCGAATAGTACTTGGCAAGGATGGATAACTTCGATATTGATATAAATATTAATAAAGAATTCTCAAAAACAGAAGATGACTGGCAGATAGTTGGCTATAACAAGGAAAAAAATAAATGACTCTTAATATACATACCCAATTCAAGATTATGATCCAGGTCACCTTTTTATCTAGACTCAAATTCAGATAAAAAAGGATTAAACTTGAATTGAAAGCTTTAATAATTCCTGACAAAACAACTCACAAGAAAATATTTCATCTCACAAAAGCCTTAAACTTCTCTGAAAGTCTTTTTCTTATCCAAAACAAATACCATGAAGATGAAAACTACATTATTACTATATTTAAAAATCAATAAGCAACAGATTATGCAAAAAATCTTATTTTACTAAATATAGATAATCTCCACTTATCATATAGAAAAAACCATACACAGGCTCAATAAGAAATATAGCATTAGAGTATAGAGCATCTCTTTGAATATAAAGTTCATTGACGTGCAACAAACTTTTGTCAAATTTGATCAAATTAATAATATAAAAATGACAATCAAAAATATGTAACAATTTACAACCATCATGTTTATCAACAAAGAAGATAAACTTAAACTTATAAATTAATGGAGTACACTAATCAAAGTATACTCTGTAAGAATTTTCAATGCAAAATAGGATCTCGAACAAATTAAAAACTGACACAATTACTTCCTTAAACTTATGAATCTTTTATCCAATACAAATGTTTTTGATTTCAAACTTATATGTCAGAAGACAAGGGCCAAAACCTGCTATATCCTTCACCTTCTATTATATATATTTAGAAAGTACATAGTTCTCAGTTTTGAAGATAAAACTATTTTCCAATAAGTACTTACTAAAACTTTTATACTAGGAGAGACAGTCCTTGAATGCAAACCAATTAACATTAAGCTTTACACTATCTGCAATAGCTCACAATATCTGGTAGTAAATTGTATTATTAAAGAAAAAAGGGAATTATGGAAAGAATTCAATCAAGAACAAACTAACAAATTCAAAAAGTTGTATCAATACTTCAGACTGGCCAATTTAGTACCCAACTACAAACTAGCAAATCCATCTATAAGGAAGGCTATAATTATTTTAGGTTTATATACCTCAGCCATAAAAAACAAAACCCTAGCTTGAGTAGTAAAACAACATGCCACAATAGATATTTTATCAATTGGTTTTATTGTTCTACTAAGTATAGAAATAGTTTACATAATTGCTTTGTATACAAAAGTACATGTAATGCATATAATTAATAAAATTGACAAGATTGAGTGTTTTAAAAAAAAAAAAATTAATAAATTAATAAAAAAAATAATTTCTTTAATTCTAATATTAAAAAAAATATTCAATTTTTCAAAAATCAAATAAATTATTAAAAAGAATAAAATACAAACTCTTTTTACTAATTTTCTAATTATATATAAAAAAGATATTCACAAGAAATTTTTACACTTCTTTATTAATAAAGTCTTAATACTTTCTTTAAAACAACTTGAAGTATAATTTCAAGAGTTACTTTTACCCTTTACTTTTTGTTTACAAATCTTTTTACTCAAAAACTTGACTTCTAATTATCAAGAAAAATCAAGTAACACCTTTAATACCAATGGCAAGAAAGTTTTCAAAGAAAGAAAAATTGACTGTAAAGTATCTGAAGGTTTATTTAACCTTTGAAAAAAGAGGGTTATAGAGGTTTTCTACAATAAAAAGATTTATTTTCTCCCTTTTTTATTGTCTTGGTCCTCTTAAAGCTTTCATTTTCATAGTTTTCTAAAGAATTTTGCCTACCCCAGTTTGATCCTGAATTTTTGATAACATAAATTTTTATCAAATATAATTGGTTGACATGAAACACAGTTTTTTAAATGTAAACAAACTCTTATTAATCATATTTATGTGTTCTAATAATATTATTGATGATTAAAAAAAAGGTTCTGGAAATATTTGCCCACAAAAGCTCAAGTCTTTTAATAAAGACTTTCATGACACCAAAAGATCAAATAATAATTAATATGAATTGCAAACTTCTATCTCTTATCTAAGTTTCTCAAGTGGTGACAAAACTTTAATGGAAAAAAGCTGAGGTCTAAATGTTTTCCTTGAGATATTCAAATTTAGCACTCACTTAAATGAAAGGTTAGTTGAATTGATTCATTTAATATTATAGATGATAAAAAAAAATTTTTTTTTCAAAATTCAAGTGAAACAAAAAGACTATTTCAATTAGCCAAATTCATTTTGAGAAGAGATTGTTTTATTTTTGAATTTTTTTAATATATCTTGAATTGTTCCTTTTTTCCAATTATTTTTGCCTTTTTCCTTTTTAACTTAGAAATTTAATGATTTTTGAACAATCAATAGTAACAAACTATTAGTAAAGATTCAGGTAGATAGAGGTTATTACCAATATATTAGAAAAGTGTAATATTGTTTTCAAAATCTGATTTAAAGTACTTATACTGTATATGAAAACAAGTTAGTTACTTTGAAAATCAATAAATTATTATAGATTTATTTTAATTTTTCAATAAAAACAAGCAATCATAATATGATTGTGGGTTAAAAAAAAAATCAAGTAAAATTATTTTTACAAATTTATAGTATTTTATTTTATTTTATTTATTTAGTTTTTTTTTTATGGGCTTATGTCTAACTTTATTGATTTTCAAATTACAAGTATATATTATACAGAGTACAAATATATAGGTATATATTTGAAATTAATAAAGATAATAATAAGCTAAAGTTATAAAAAAAAAAACTCTTTCCCGTAACCCCTTTTTTCTTAAAAATTTCCTTATAAGGAAATTTTCCCAAGGAAAAAAGTAAACAATGAGAGATAGTAGTTTTAAA